CTAAGATTGCGAGTCAAATGCTCTAACCACCTGGACATGCCGGGCCGATAAGGGTATGTATCCGAGTCAAAAATTACTATACTGTTCTTAGCTATTTGCCTCCCAGTGGCTCAGCGAAAAGTCCGCGGGCTCACTCCGCTAAAAACCAGGTTTAGATACTCGTGGCGGGCACAGCACAGACAGCCCAATTTGTATATTTGTGCTTACAACAAACAAACAAAATCTTAACTATTTCTACAATACTACTATGCACCCTACTTCAAGACCGATCCTTTTACGATATGCTATAATAATTAATAGTCATTATAACAATGTTTCTTTGTTTTTAAGTTAAAGAACTGTTTCATCAGTATTAATGTATAATAAGCTATAATTTTAAAATAAATACTTCAAACATGATTTATATACGTAATAATAATTCATCGTTTCGGCAATGGTACTATGATAGTTTCGAATTTCAATTTAGCAAACAGTTGTTTCAATAACTTTCTTCATAATAAATTCATCAATCTTAATATCACCGTTACAGAACAATATTTTTAACTAACAACTATTTCATTTCCATTTATATTGATTAGCTTCTTTAATTTCAACGGTTTGAACAATATTTTTAACTCACACTTTACTTAAATATTGGTTCAATACGGCTTTTCATAAACAATTTCTGAGCATTATACTGTTTCAAAAATATTATTATTTAATAACGATATCAACAACAATGGTACAAAGTCGTATCGAGATCAAATAATATTTGGCACAAACAGTATGTTAAGAATTTATGGTGTAAAATGATTACTATTACAGTTGCAAACTAACAGATGACAACAAACGCTATCAAACTGACGATTATTTTCTGGAAGGCCCCCTAGTGGCACAGCGGCATGTCTGCGGACTTACAACGATAGAAACCGGGTTTTGATACCCGTGTGGGCAGAGCACAGACAGCCCACTGCGTGGCTTTGTGCTTAACTACAAACAAACAAATTTTCTGGAAGAAAAAAAAGATCGTTTCTCTCCTCTCTCAAACTCAAAGGCAATGTATGCTTGTTACATTGAAATCGTTAACTCCTTTGAGAAATGTTACCACCAAGACTGAGAAAGTCAAAACCTTTAAACGTGTGAAAGAATCTAAATAAAAACCAAAAATGTTGGTAACTGTAATGAAAAACGAACACAGTCACATTTCGAGAAGTAAACTGGAAAACAGATGTTTCTTAAAAGGTTCAGATCAAGACTTTAAAAAAAAAATAACCTTTCTAAAAATGACGGGGAAACTACTGTGGTTTCCAAGTTTTGCACACACTACGGGCGAACTACAAGATTTACGTTGTAAATGTATTTCTTAAATTGCGTATAAGGCTACTCTTGTAAAACTGCTTTCTAATGGTAACATCAAGAATACCAGTGTTTAAATTTTATCACTTTTATCCTTCACACAGAACTGTAAAAATCAGAAAATTGTTCTTTTCAATAAGATTTTTATGTCAAGATTTTCCACTTCAACTTCGCATTCGGAAGGATGGGCTAAAGGTCAACATTAGTTATAGTTAATTCTTCTTACAATTACTATATTAATTATACGTTAGAATGGTATATTTAATTAGCTATACCGATGGCCATGTCGATTTTTAGTTTCGCTTTAACTACACGGCTTATCCTCATTAGAAGTTAATATTAATACGTTAACACTATATACAGATATATCATGTAATTATTCCACTTAAAACAAAATCATCTGTTCATCACTACCCATAGTTAAGGTGAAATCCTCTATTTTTCTTTCATCAACCGTCACTGTTAGTCGATATTACTTTTATTTTTTAGGATTTATGTGCTAAGAAATTTTTCGTTTATTTATTTGTTTTTAAGATATGTTTTGGAAACAGTTATATAATCTTATTGACCATACGCTTGGTTATCCCAGTCATTTCGTCACTGATGTTCTAAAATTACTATAAACATAAAAAGTCATAAAATGATGCGATTTTAAAGAATCTAAACATCATAAATATTTCCATCCACCTGTTGTTTGATGAGCACACAGTTTCTCATTATTAAAAAATTAGACTTTATTTTTATTCCGACACAATTAGCACATGATTTAAAAGTTTTATGAGGATTCCTTCTATCACCCGACATTACAAACTTTTAAACTATACGTACAAGACATGCTTATGGATATAAAATGATATAAAACACCCTCCAAAGTTGTTATTTTTCCAATGTATGCGTAACATAACAAGTGTATTCTAGTAATCAAAACATTATGGTGAGTTTATGAAACATCAAAAGTGGACAGTCTTAATGAAGTCGCAGTAGTTAGTAGACTATCGGGTGGTTTATTCACCCTGTGTAGATGCCAACCCGATCAGAATGACATACCAAGTACGTGACACGTACATCTTGTCACTACATCAGTGTTTCACAAGACCAACTGACACGAGCATACATAGTTGTCAAATAACTTGAAAAAAAAATACAACTCAAAAAGTGAATTTCGACTTACCGTGCAGAATCCTGGGTATAGAAATAGTAGTGGTATCCACTTAACAGAAAATTATACGAACGTACGCACTAAACTTTCGGAACAAAAAATAAAAAAAAATCCGTACAACCGTCACGAATAGAAAACGACCGAAAAAAGCTACCACACCTTACAGAAACCACCCCACCCCTATATGCAATAATGGTAGTGTCCTTACGCCAATCAATGGTTTTCCTCTGAAGCTACGGTGGGGTAAGGTCAATAAACCCCTAGCCGCACGTAAAATCTCTGACTGAGTAGGCCAGGGGTGAGGGCCAGGTTCTGAGAGCAGATGGTGAACTGTAGCAGCAAAAAGAACGTACCCTGAACGTATATATTGACAGAAAGAAAGCATTTTACCATGGCTTACAGGACCAGTGAAGGGAGAATGTTATGAGCACAGGCTATTAATAATAAGGTAAATCAACTTACAAGAGCGTTACCATGATATACACGGTAAAAGTTATTCACAGCATTATACTGTCCATAATCTGGTTTATTTAACATCCACATAAATTTCCATTCTATATATGATGAATAACTCTTCACATACGTTAGCATATCTTTTAACAGTCGTTAATGGTTTTCAATATCAGTTCTTACGTGTGACTGTTAGGAAATCGTGAATTTTCGAAGCTAAATATCTCTCTAGATAAAACAAAAAGAAAGAAAAAAGAGCGGCCACGTGAGATATAAGAAATATTCAGAACTCTCTCTCTTCATTTTAATGAAATTATATATAAAAAAACTAGTTGCAATTGTTCGCAATATTTCAATATTATAAACATTAATTTCGTACATCTTTTTTGGTAACTTGTGTAAAGCCTGATTCGACACACATTCCGGTGAAAATTATCAACAAGAAAGTTCATAAAAGGATTACAACTTAGTGTAAGGTAACATGCATGATAATCGTCGATGATAGCTTCAGCCGAATGCTTCTGTTTTCTGAAACAGTCTTCTTTTATTCCAACATCTAGAAGTTTTACACAGAGATAGGATGTAATTTATACTTTGTTATTTAGACTATAAATGCGTTAAAATTTTATCTTTCCGTGAACTTTATATGATATAATCATATATTAAAATCAATTATCATTTGATTTACTAGTAGTTCACGAAAAATCGCCCATAAACAATACATATTTTCATTTAAGAAATTGAAAGAATATCTAAATACGGAGTATTTTATCCTAGAATATATGTATTTTAAAACGAACAAGATATTTTCTTTCGGACTTTTTTTGTCAGTAAAATAATCCTGTATAGAAAACGTTTTTTTGGTATCCACTACTGATGCGACCTGTAGAATATTGGACTAGAATGCTATCATCACATGAGTAAGCAAGTGCTACATCATTTCTTTAACTTTTATGACGTATGCATATATATATATTAATAGTCCAGGTGAGATACATTAAAAGACTATTCAGTAAATTGGTTCTATGTCTGTTAATCTGCACCTTTTTCTTTAGGTTTTACTGATATAGCTATATTATTATTGTATATTAGCAACACAACATGGTATTTTAATTTTCAGTGCCATTATTTTTTAAATAAGCTAGTGAACACCTATTATTTTTAATTATCTATTTTCCTCTAATTTGTAATAGATTATGACTAATTAATGTATACACTAAAGTATAGTGATAACAGAATGCCGTATCTATGAAACTTTTGGTCTCACTTTCTATTCTTAAGATGTTTTAATTTATGTGCATGAGCACTTTAATACATTCTATATTTATAATTGTTTATTATTGCATTAACTTTTGATGCACAAGATTATCAATTAGTATTTTTTACCTTTTCAATAACTGGCAAATGCTCCTCCCATTAAGGTCACAGGTGCAAAGATTAAGACAAAGATTTGTTACTTCAAAGTTTTATGAATAACATTTTTTTTTCATTTTGCTCAGAACACAGATTTCTAATATCAAGTGCAATTTTGCAAATCATCTGAAGGAGAACCATTTAAATCAATGCCCAATATTATTGTCAACTCTTTGGAATGCATATTTATCATTAAGACCAAGGCACATAAGTGCATGTATACATTTGCTGAATGTGTAATAGACACGCAAATGAATAGTCCAATATTTCTGTTAGTTTTGACTCAATAGTGAAATAAAATGCAAATTTTCCATGTGCATATGTTAGTTGAATATTTTATTTGCCTCTTACAGTTGTGTTCTGCTTCTTGTTTTCTTTTTTTTAACGTTCAATTTTCTCAGGAAAATCCAAGCAATATTTTTTAACATTACACGAGTATCATTTGGTTTAAAACTGAAACTCTTTTGCTAACTTATTTATTTTTGTTAAAAATAAATAACAGCTTTTATTTATCACTATTTATTTTAAATTTTTACTGGTTAAAACTGCTTTTTGTAACCAGTTTTTCTGTCAACAGTAATCAAAGTTTTCTGAGTTACTACAAAGATCAAGCATGTTTATTCAAATACTACAAAAATCAAACCTGTTGAATATGATATCGCTGCTAGCATACTTCTCCAGTTTAGCGACAGGGGGCAGTAGCTCGTCAGGGTTGAGAGTATGCTCTTCAGTCCCGTAGTCGCCCACTTCTTCCTTTTCTTCTTCCTGTTTTACCGTCATATCGGCGCCGCCCTCGAATGTCCCATGCCCACCTGAAAATAGCCGCACGATAAGCATGCTCAAGTTAGTGGTTAGTGTCATATGTATACAACACCGAATCATTACATACATTTAATTTCTACCGTAATAGAAAAAGTGATTAAAAAAAAACAATATTCTTCATTCTCGTTATAGGTCTTAGTCTCTCACTCTCGGATATAGACTCTTCGTATCTGTTTGTATCAGATATGTTCAACAAAAGGTCCAAAAATAATATAAACGATCCGGTAAATACAATAAATATTTCAAACAATGTGCATGTTTACATAGTATGTTTTATCTAATATGTGCGACTTATGTGTAACATACTTACAACACTCAAACTAAGCGCTGTGTTATTTATTGTTTTGATTGTTATAAAGTATATTATCTTTTAACTCTGACCCCCTTTCAAGTCTAACACTGTTTCTAATTATAGCCTTAGATAGGCCTAAATAAAATGTTTTTAATTGTGTACCAGTTTAACGTTGAATATTATTTATGATTTTAAATGTTTCTAATGTTGAGCAATTTAATTCTTTGATTATCACCACCTTAAATTCAGAACTTGGCAATCATAAAAAACAACTTTATAAAAATTAATACAATATATTGATAATATTAAAATCAAATAAGTACAAGCTATTAATAATGCAGCGCTACCTAAAAATTAAAATGGCAAACACATAAATATCCTGAGAATATATAATAATAATAATAACGAAATAAATAAGCAAAACATATCTGTTTTGGAATATCTAGATACAGAATTCATATTTTATATTATAAAGTCTTAGTACTTTGCACTGGTAGCTTAATACACGTACTTAAGACTAATCTAAATCTCCTAGGCTCCCCGAGCATCTTGAGATATACTTGGGTTTACGGCCAAAAATGTTGTTAACTGATGAAACAATGCACCCTAATTTTTATAAGAAAGAACAAAATAAAAGTATATTTAATTAACTATACTTGTTACCAGTTTGATTTTTAGTTTCGGAAGTTAATATTAATTTTACTTGTTATATCCTAGTTTGAACTTGATTTAAATATTAAGTTTCTAGGGTATATCTGATTATTTATGTTTATGCCAAATGTACTATGACTGTCGCCATCCCTAATTTTGAACTGTTAAACAGAGGGAATCCAACTGGAAAGCCGGCACCGAACATTCTCGCCTTATAAGCAGTGGGGGTTTTGGAATGTGATAGTTAATCCTACTATTCTTTGGTAAAACATTAGTCGAAGAGTTGTTTTATTTTATACAATATTGTATTCGTTAATGTGTACGTTATTTTTAAAATGTTTTATTTATGAACGGTATAGTTAGCCGACTTTGATTAAAAGTTTTAAATAATATGTATTGCACCACACAAAGCTAATAAGTACATCTAGATTTACACATCGCACAAGAGTGTAAAGTCCCGCCAAAAGCTGTTCCTCGTAAAAACAAAAGAAACAAGAGATGGCGTGGTTTGGTTTAATTATTAGCCCTACAACCACTCTGCCACTTTTAGTTATGTCTAGCTGTTTTCTCACAGTAATATGTATTGGTTCTATTACGATACTTGGCATTTCATGAATTGTCACACGTGATTAAGGCAACTCTTCCCACAGTAGACAGGTTCAAAGGCAGATATATGGATCGAAATATAATACATACACAACTCGTGTGTTAAACATATGTGTGTGTGTATATAAGTGACTGAGACAATGTGTCTATATGTAATACAGTTACATATTACAAACAAAAACCGTCATTTCTGAGGATGAGCTTCACGGTGTAATAGTGAGTCACTTCTGTTCTAGGTTGTACTAAAAACTCTTCTTTAAGTGAGTCACACACGTGTCTGATATACGAGACGATGATACATTCCGATGTGTAGTCTTTGTTAACACAGTTTAAAGATGCGTGTATCTGAAGACTCGGTCTGAAAAGGAACATCATTTCTGGCACACACATCTATTGGCAGATGACTCAATTTGTACCTTCTCATGATACATTTCGTCGAGGAGTTCTGTTACACGAATTCGGTGTTTTATTCACTCTCACGCAGTATCACTGATTTAAAAAGACCAATTAGTCTATAATGAACGCTATAAGTCTTGTATGTAAAGATGACTGCAGGTACGAATCCGAATATTTGCATTATTTCTCTAAGATATACACGAGAACAACATTTCTTTTTCTCTTGTCACGGTAGGTTTAGGACTATACCAGAACGACATTGTATTTTCTTTTTCTCTTGTCACGGTAGATTTAGGACTATACCAAAACGACATTGTATTTTCTTTTTCTCTTGTCAGGGTAGATTTAGGACAATACCAGAACGACATTGTATTTTCTTTTTCTCTTGTCAGGGTAGATTTAGGACTATACCAGAACGACATTTTATTTTCTTTTTCTCTTGTCAGGGTAGGTTTAGGACTATACCAGAACGACATTGTATTTTCTTTTTCTCTTGGCACGGTAGATTTAGGACTATACCAGAACGACACTGTATTTTCTTTTTCTTTTGTCACGGTAGGTTTAGGACAAAACCAGAACGACACCGTATTTTCTTTTGTCACGGTAGGTTTAGGACGTAATTAGATTTGTCTACTAAAGTGCCTCCACGAAAACACAAGTAGTACTACTGATAAAATATTACGTTTTTATATACTTATCATAAAAGTCATTACTTGAACGTGTTAGAAGTTTATCACATATTCCGCGACCTTTAAAAGACAAACAAAAGAGAATCCGTGTTCATGCTGAGAACACTGACATCAAGATAGTATAATATCTCTCTAAACTATGGTTTCAATGTATTTTATTGCTCGGTGGTAAGTTCTGCCCTACACACTTATTACAGCTTTCCTCTAAAAGCGCAAGCCAGTAAAGAATACAAACAATGACCAGATACATCTAGTTGATAATGAAATTGAAGATATACATAACAATTTCACAATTCATACGAAACTAATTTCATACTCAAGATATGTTTATAACGTAAAACTGTAAAATGTTCTGTCTTCGCTGTGGCCATGAAGGAGTTGAACCCCGCATTTTAGCTTTATAAGCCCCCAAGCTTACTGCTAACTCACCGGGGCTTCATACACAAAACAAGTAAAATAAAAATGTATAATTACTGAAGGAGTTAGATTTGGAGGTTTAATACGCATAAGCAATCGTGACGTAATAATTTTTCTCGCGGAACAAGTAAGCAGCCATTTTTTTTAAATATTTTATGGATTATTTTCTCGAAAGCTCAATTTGTTCATTAGCATCCGGATCTCACCAACCTTTAGTCTTTAAATGTTATAGGTGAAATTATTAGTGTAGAGCCAACAAAAGCTAAAATATCACAACAATCTTTATAATACAGTAGATAGAAGTGTAGCGGTAAAAGAAAAATGTTGAAATGAGAACACATTGTTCAAAATCAAACACAAAGGTGTTTGGGCTTAGTTAACTTATGCAGGCGTTTTTATTGACTGAGACGATTCGTTTTCAAAAATATTTGTAAATTTCAAGTATTTAGTTGACGTAACCATAAATATATTCATATACACTTATTCCAAATTCAAATTTCTACCTCAAGGGCAACTTATGCATGCGTGGGCTAAACGACCAAGTCGGAGACCCGCAGGGTTCAGGTATAGCCGTCTCTAATTTTCAACCACTGACAAAAAGGAAGGAAGCATTCATCCAGCAGCGTCCGCAACAGCTCAAGCTATTTAGTTCAACTTTTTTGAACTAAATAGCAAGATTAACTATCGTCTTCAATAACACGCCCAAAACTGAAAGTGTGAAGCGTACTAATTATCATCGCGTCTCGAACCCTGAACCCTTCGATCCGTAATCCATCACGCTAATAAGTAGGCCACGCCAACCCTTCAACAAAATAAAAAATGAAATGTTCGTTTTTAACATCTTTTGTATGCACTGATTGCTCTTTTCAACGTCATGTTTGTGATACGAATACTTGCATGTCATGCATAAAAAATTGATCTGTTGTATATTTTTTAGTTAAAATTTGTTATCTACAAGTATTTGAATAAATTAATTCAAAAACATTTTAGATCTCATTTTCTTGGTACTTATGTATAATGTTAAAATAATAGATAAAAAACACACAACGTTAAAATCAATACATTTTAACACGTCTCTCAGGAGCCAAGGGGTGTCTTTACACTACAATTTGTTGAATATTAAAGTAAGTTCAATCCGGAAACTCCCAAAAATGGTGATTTTGGAGGTATCTTTTCGAGACAAGTTTTCGTTTGTTAATTGATCATTTTTAAGTGAAAAACAGCATCCTCAAGTCTCCATACTAGCTAGTACTAAGGTCTATCTGCTGAGAATAAATTCAGTATATATCAATAAAGCCACATTTTCAGCATCATTACTTAAGCAGAAAAGATAAAAATAAGTAAATTTATACTCTATACATATCTTGTAGACGAGAACGTTCTGTTGGCAATGATTAATAAATCAATTAGGCTTAAAATAGTGTGAACGTTTTTTTAAACAGCATTAAATAACATGTCACGATCATTTCTGTTAACAAGCAATAAGTTAATTTTTATCTTAATTTACTGTCAATTCTCAACGTAAATATTTGATCAAACAAAAACTTAATAATTATCTTATACCAAAGAGACAATTTACAAGTCGTAATTAATGTTAGTCGTTAGGTGGCGCCTGTGAGGCGACAACGCGGAATGCGAAAGATCTTCATCAATAACAGAATCTAACTAGGTGTGAAAATTTATCTCAAAATATACGACATGGTAAACAGTTATGAAGAAATGAACAGCAAAGACCAGAAGCAAGCTCTGCGTGAACGGAATGCGAAGCTTACAGGAAGAAAAGTGATAACTTGTTGAAAGGTAAACGTAGAAATAGTTGAATGATAATCAGGGTTTGGGAACACGCTGTCAGTGTCACTCAGAACAGTTTCAATAAATGTACGATCACTGCTAAGGCGACATTTTTTGTTGTTGTACTTTTACAAATCCGACGACCCTA